AGGCTGGCCGGTGGGCAGCACGAGCTGGTCGGGACGGGTCCCTCAAGAGCTTTAATCCTTGCTGCCCATGTTAAGGTTGCTGTGAGCATGCGCCAGTGCTGTTAACTGCTTAGACTTACAGCTACGTGAGCAGGAACCCGCCTTGGCCCGTGGACCTGCCCCTGGACTACCAAACCCCTCAAAACTCAAGGGTATTCAAGACTTGGGGAACTGGGTCTGACCTCTTTCTAGTCACCATCACCATGATAAATAAGACTTTGAGCTTAGACGTCTTTTTCCTCCTCCCTTTCTCTTTGTTCTCTAAAAGTAATGATTAATTCTGATGATATCAAATATGTTGTAACAGGGAAGTGGATTAGTGGTCCGTACATAGGCTTTTTTGACAATCGGGCCTTAGTTAAACTGACTCAAATATTAAAAAATGGAAATATTAGGAAGCTGCAGCCTTGTCTTTGTAAAATGCCGATATGCTGCTAAGAGTCAGTGCCACCGTCGTAGATATCCTCGTGGAGCAAACGCCCGTGAGCGGCGGAGGCTTTCTCATTGAGCCGGCTTGGTGCGGGGAACGGGCAGGAGAAGTCCATGCATGGCCTTGCAGGTGCAATTGCCTGGCCGCAGACAACGCGGGATGTTGGTGCCCATCCAGGTAGCTGCAGTACAGATGAATTTGAGCAGCAAATCTGAATCTGAGCAGTTTTGCTTGGCATGGTCTCATTAAGAATAAGCTAACTTGGATTTGATCTGGGATTTGCATGTCACTGAGGATTTCCAAAGATTCTGGGCTTTGGATTTGGATTCAAACCCACCTTCACAGGAGCCCTTCTTGGAAGCCACCGTGCTCCAGGACAGACCTCCTTTGGTGGAGTGACTCCTTCAGGACAGGACAGTGCCCAGCACTTTCTAGCTTGTCCTTTAAAAATTGCTGCCTGTGTTTGGATACGATGGCTTTTAAAGCTCTGCATTCTCAGACTTTTACGTTATAACACATTAGGGTGGGGCTTAAATAAATAATAGCTCAAAGGCAGGTTCAAAATGAATCATTATTTGAGGGCAGGACTGGAGGGTGACTAATGGTTCAGAGCAGTGACCTCTTTGGAAGTGGAGTGAGGATACCGGAGGAGCATGAAATCTGGGAGGAGAAGCCTTGCTCAGGAGGGGGGGCGGTGAGTGGTTATTGACTTGTCCTAGAAAAAGCAGGACTGAATTCCTGGAGCAGCCCTACTCCTGACTCTGATCTTCTAGACCGGGACGCGCTCTCTAGCCTGACTCCGAACTCCCCCAGATTTTTTACCCAGGTGCAGAGCAACTGTTTGCAGAGAAGCTGCTGGTGATGGAACTGTTTTCACTAAGTGAAACTTAGTTGAATTAATGTTGTGTTATCAAAGCCAAAACATGTTGTGGGGATGTATTGGTTTGAAAGCTTATTCGTCAGAGCTCTTAGCGGGAGAGATTTCCCTGATTAAAGTCTTTGCTCTGCGTTTAAAGGCAAACAAATGAGAAGCGCCTCACCTTGCTGCTATTTTAGCACAGCTGGGCAAACGCTACGTAAAAATTATTCTGCAGATTGTTTGCCCCTCTCTGTGTGAGCAGGATTTTTCCTTTAAACGTATTTACATTAATTAGTGCGCTCCATATGGGTTTGGTGCTTGCATTAGGCTCCTTTTCATCGTGGCCCGACCCGCAGCCGCTGGTTTTGGAGGGGGGGGGGACGGAGCGGCACAGACCTCTCGTACAGAACTTTATTTACTCTGTATCCGGCATTGCACGGAGCAAACAGACTTTCGTCGATTTGGGGCTGGCAGAGTTTTCCTCATTACGACCATCTCCGAGAAGTCATTCCAGGGCACAAAGTTATTTGAATTTTCCGAAGCCTGTTCTCCCACTCGGGTAAAACCCCTGGCTGGATTTGCCTGAAGGATGGCTGCAGAGCTTGATTCAGACTTAGCTTCGGCTTAAATTGCTGCTTCGTACATTTAACAGCAATCCCATTTTTAATTACGTCGCTCTCTTATTGCATGACAAACGTGCTTCCCGCTCGGTTTCTTGGGGTTGGTTGTTTGTTTGTTTGTTTGTTTTTCCCCCTTTCGGCAGCAGATGGGAAACGTCGTCCGGACGCGTTTCAGCAGCGGTCGGCCCGCGGGCGGGCTCCCGGCGGGA